CCTTTTATTTCAAAGATAGCACCAGGTTTATACAAATACTTCAAACCTAGGTGTATGAAGTGTATTTGAATAACTTTCACTGAATTCAAATAAGTAATCAATTTCCTCAACAGTCATTGTAGGCAGTTCATTAAGTAACAAATATCTTTGCCTTGCTAAGTGAGACAATGCAGAATACAATTCGTTACCAAGGCACATAATACTACGGAAACCACCCATGTGCTGACAAGTTTAAAAATAACGTGCCACAGCACCGCCCACAAACGTACATGTCATGTGACCATAAACACAATAAAATAGTTAAAATATACATCGATGGCGGCGTCAATATTCAATCAGTTTGGACGGGTGTATGAACGCGGCAAGGAACTTAGCAAATATTTAAAAACTAATATTATTCAGGATATAGTAGAACAGGGAAGCGACATTACTACAGGCTCTTTCCCGGGTAGTTTGGCAGCGGTGGCCCTAAAACATAGAGTAAAAGCTGACACTGTTCTAAACTATTGCCAGTAATATTTGGATTATATTAAAACCGTAAATCCAGCGAACCTAAAGTTTTTTGATGAATCAGGTATCAAGTTACCCAAAGTCGGTAGACCTAACTATGGGCATTCACTTATTGCTACCCCTGCTGTTGAAATAATGCGTAACATGCATTCGCCTAACATCACTTTGAACTTGTTATGTGGTTTAGATGGCCTAATATATGCAAATACCATAGATGGATCCAGTAATTCCATAACATTGTTGGATTTTTTTAACGAATCACATCATATTATACTTCCAAGTGGGAAGCCTGCATATACTTATGGAGACCATATTATTATGGACAATGCTCCAATTCACCACAATAGAGCCGGACAAGCTCTATCTGAATGGGTTGATGATATGGGATTTGTGACTGTCTTTCTACCCACTTACTCCCCGGAATTTAATCCCGCAGAAAATGTTTTCAACAAGCTGAAAACCATTCTCCGAAGGTATGAGTTCAGGGAACTACTTCAGGAAAATTTGCACGTAGCTGTGTACGAAGCGTTGAAAGAAATCACGCCACAGGATATGGTTGGATTTTTTCAGCACACTGGTTATATCTATAATTGATTAAACAATGTTCTGTGAAGAACGATCATATTAGTTGATATTATAGACATATTCAGTTTAAGAGTAAAACAACTATAGAATAACATAGAGTATCGTGTATTTTTATGTAATTTACTTCATGCGACAACTGAAACAATTCAGTAAAATAACGTGATAAATAAATAATAAAGTAAATTAGCCGTTATACTACAAAATATGTGACATGTAATTTTCCTATCATCAATTTTCCCCAAACGTGTTTTGCTCAATGTAACGCCAGATTGAGAATTGAACCTACATTTTTCGTAGATTCTTAGTTTGGAACAGTGTACGATTCAGGGAAACGTATGCCTTTCGCTTCCCACAAAGCCTTCACAGGATTTACACTTGATGCAGAGCTGCTGGATTTCTCGGTTTCAGCTTTCGGTTTTAGCACTTTGTATCCCTTGTCAAACTGCTTGATTAAGTCAGGGATTGCTGATCTGGAAGAGACTTCACCGTGACAAATTTTTTCAAGTTTTCTGATGTCTGCGTTAACAGCCAACCAATTTGGAACGTATTGACCGGTTAAAGTTTTTCTAAAGTACTTCTGTTTGTCACTGTTAATCAAATCTGATCGAACTTGTGATGCAAACGATCCCAGCAACGCCTCGAACATTTTGCGTTTATACTTCAATTCTTCTTGCAATCGATTCAACTTTGTAGTAATAGTTTTAAGTTCATGTTTCTTGTCTTTTATGTACTTACTTTCGTCAGAATGGCGTTTAATGTCACCACATATTGCCGCGGACACACAACGCGGAAACGTGCAGTTGGCTTTGTTATGCCCACTTATGTGACAGGTTTGTACATTTTGGACTGTTATCATTTAGATTGCCGTAGCTCTCCTCAAGAGTTTCAATCTCAAGCTCTTTATCGTCCATTTCCGTTTGCTGAGCCGCTATGTCTCGTTGCAATTTTTCAAAATACTTTTGGGTCGGCGATACATAAACGAAGCTGTCGATGTCAACATATTCAGCATCCTCATTTTTAAAATTCAATTTTTCCTTAGGCTTTGGGCTTAGCGCTGTCCTTGAAAGCTCTTTTTTTTGGTTTTTGAGGAGATGATGAATGGAATCTTTTACTGGTGTCACCCACAAAACTGGGACTTTGCTCAAAGCCATGGACGGATGTTGCTGTGTTTGACACTTTCAACATTATGCGGTAAAGATTTTCTCTATGAGGAACAGGCTGCGCACATAAAACCATGTCTAAAAAGGATTCTGAATCTTCATGTCGCAGATCGACCCAGTCGTTATCGCGGTCCATGTACTTTATATTTGTTGGGACAAAATCGCAAATTTCATGGATGCGTTGAACTAGATCGTCTATCTTCATAGATTTGACGGATTTGTTGTCCATGAAGAACTTCATCCAT